ACCCACAGCGCCCCTAGAGGACAGAGTGGAACTGCACCACAGGGGGTTTCCACGGCTGTGGTCTTTTTGGAAGCAGACTGCCTCATCTTTCTTCCATGGAGCAACTCGTAGGTTCGAGCCACTGACCTTTTGGTTAGCAGCTAAGCTCTTAACCACTGGGCCATCAGAGCTCTTTGCATCCATATACATGGATACACACATACATCCATATACATGGATACACACATGCATCCATATACATGGATACACACACGCATCTCTCTAAGCATCTGTCCATCCATCTACCAACCGTCTCATCTCGAGACAGCAGTCCCAGGAGTATCAATAACCCGATTCCTTTGGGCTCTTTCTTTCCCGTGAATGTCAGTAATGATATTGGTGATGGGCTCCATCACGTGGCTGCCCCAGAGCATAACTCAACCACTCAAGGGTGCCTGGGCTCTCTCCAGACTTTTGCTGGTACAAATAGTCCTGCAATGAGTAGCTGTGTCATGGGCTAAAAACCAGAAAAATGTCTGCCTGAAAACCAGAAAAATGTCTGCCTGTGTGTTAGTGACCATGCAAAGATATTGAAGTGTGTGGATTATAACAAACTATGGAAAACATTGGGAAGAATGGGAATTCCAGAACACTTAGGTGGGCTCATGAGGAGCCTGTACATAGACCAAGAGGCTGCCAATCGAATAGAACAAGGGGACACTGCATGGATTTAAATCAGGAAGGAGTGCGTCAGGGTTGTATCCTTTCACCATACTTGTTCAATCTGTGTGCTGAGCAAATAATCTGAGAAGCTGGACTACATGAAGAAGAATGTGGCATCAGGATTGGAGGAAGACTCATTAACGACCTGAGATACGCAGACGAGACAACATTGCTTGCTGAAAACGAAAACGACTTGAAGCATTTACTGATGAAGATCAAAGACTACAGCCTTTGGTATGGATTACACCTCAATATGAAAAAGCAAAAGTACTCACAACTGATTGGTCAATCGGCAACATCATGATAAATGGAGAAAAGACTGACATGGTCAAGGATTTCTTTTTCCTTGAACCAACGATCATTACCCGTGGAAGCAGTGGTCAAGACATCAAACAACATATCACACTGGGCAAATCCACTGCAAAAGACCTCCTTAAAGTGTTAAAGAGCAAAGATACCACTTTGAGGACTAAGGTACACCTGACCCGAAAAGCCATGGTGTTTCATTCCCCTCAGATGCACGAGAAATCTGGACAACGAACAAGACCAAAGAAGAATTGATGCCTTTGAATCAGGGCATTGTGAAGAATACGGACGAGACCAAGGATGGCCAGAAAAACGAACACATCTGTCTTGGAAGCAGTGCAGCCAGAATATTCCTTAGAAGCGAGAATGTCAAGACTTCAACTCACGTGTTTTGCTCAAGTTATTAGGAGACCACACAGGTGTGGCACTCTGTTACGGCAGCCCTAAGAGTTCCACGAACCCGAGGTTGATAGCCTTTTGTATTTTCTCCAAATGGTTAACAGGCTCGGCCAGTAAATGAGAAGTGGCTTTGGTCCACTGAGCGGCGTCTCGGAGGCAGGCCTGGGGCCGACGCCTGAGAAAGCAGCCGAAGCACGGTTTGGCTCTGACACGTGTGCACTGTGAGCCGGGCTCTGCTGTGCTCTGACGGCCTGTTCCCACGTAGCTCTGGGTGCTCCCATCAGTGTCCTTGCTGGGTGAAACAGCACGTGTGCTTTCACACACACCGCCCTGTCCTCTGCGATGTGTGGGGGCACCTGCCTTGCCGCAGCCTCAGCCACGGTGTGGTCAGCGCTGGGCTGTTGGGTGCCAGTCAGAGGAGTGGAGCTGAGTGTGTTCTAACGAGCGTCTTCCCATCAGCACTGAGGCTGTGTGTGTCTTCTTTCCCAGGCACCGCTGTGTCCCCTTTCCCAAAAGGCTCTTGGCCGCCTTCTTCTGTCTCACGCGCTCCTGGTGTGTCCGTGGCACTCATCCTTTCCTATGGCACAAACTGCAAATCCCTGGGTCGTCTGTCCTTGGTGTTCTGCGACTGGTGGTTTTGACGCATCTGGGTTGTAGGGTTGGAGAGTACAGATGGACTCGGCCTGCCAGGACGACCACCGAGCCAGAGCCTCCTCACAAGTGAGGCTGGTGAGACGACATCTCACTCACTCTCGACACATCATCAGGAAAGACCCGTGACTAGAAAGGGTGTTGTCAGAGGGTCAGCGCAAACCAGAGAAGCCTCCGTGAGTGGCGTGACGCAGGAGCCGCATTAAAGCCCTCGAATGGGCCAGCCATCAGGCAGGCACACAGGACCGGGCCTCGACGCACTCTGCTGTACACAGGTGCCCGTGAGTCACCCAGCACCACCGCCACCAGCAGCAACCGGGCTGTGTTTCTTTTTTTTAAAATTACTTTTATCTATTGCCTGTGGATTTCCCGACCCCGTTCTGCTGAGGTGTGGAGGAATCCACCGGCCTCCTTAGAGCACAGAGTGGCTTCAGCTTGTTACATCTTACGCATAAGCCCTGCTCCATGTGAGGCATGTCCCTGTGCAGTTCCTTTCCTTGTCTCCACACCACTGTCCGTTTGCTCTACTGATTTGGGACATCCGTGTGTAGACAGTTCATCCACACGCCCACAAACTATATCCCCAGTGCCAGCTGTGGGAGATATGGTGGCATAGTGCCTAAGGCACTTGACTGCTGACCAGAAGGCCGGTGGTTCAAACCCACCAACCCGCCTCAGAAGGAAGGTTGGGCAATCTACTTCCGTAGTGATACTGCCTTGGAAACCCAAGGAGGGGTCGCTATGAGCCGGGTCTGACTGGACAGCAAACAACAACAGCTGTGTGTATGCTGGCTGTGCTGCTGGCGGCCCCACCCACACCCTGCACAGGTAAATTCTCCCTGCCCCCACCCTCTGCCTGTTTTGTATCTTAGGGGATTCCTGGTGGGGCCCCCCTTTAGGTGTCTCTGCAGCTCCACACAGAGCCCCTGCTGAGTGCGGGCAGCACCCAAGAGTGTGTGTGGGGAAGAGCTGGGACCCACTCTGCCAGATCAGGGAGCTGGGTGTCCGGAGGGTGCTCAGGGAAGACTGGGAAGCGTCTGGTCTATCATGGGTGCCCTGGCCTGGATGGGGTCACAGCCAAGGTGCCGCACCTCCCGGACAATGCCCCAGAGAGTCCCGTCCCCTCTGCTTGCCGCCCCTCCCCCGCCCAGGGAACCCAGATGCCCAGTGGGCATCCCAGTGGCAGTGCGGAGGGAGTCCCGCAGACCCGGGGACCGCCCATGCAGTCACCCACGCTGTCCTCGCCCCACCTAGGGGAACCTACGGAACCAGTGGCAGCCAGGTGCAGAGGGCGGAGAGGACAAGGCATCCATTCTCCTCCCTGACCCAGGGTGATCAAGGCGGCAGCCCCGCCCACTGCCCCAGCGGCCCGCCCCCGCCGGGACCGCTCCGTGTCGTTCCCAGGTCCGCCCGCTCAGTCCCTGCGGGCACTTGGGGGCAGCCCAGAGCGCTCGGGACTAACGCCTCCTGGCGCCACGAGGGTCGCCCCGCGCGTGGCCCCGAGCGCCCCTCTTCCCGCTCCCCTCACCCCCCCGAGCGTCTCAGGTTGCACCCGGCAGTTGCGGGCAAGTGGGCGCTGGCATCCTCCCCGCCCCGGCCGCGTGACTCTAGGAATCTGTCCGCCCGGTGGGGGCTCCGCACCTCGCTGAGACAATAAATGAGGGGGTGGTGGTGGCGAGCCGGTGACAGGTGGGCGCAGAGCGCGCGAGACCTAGCCACTGAGATTGGCCTTAGGAAGTGCAGGCACGTGGGCTCGGGCCGGGCCACCACGTGGGTGCGGGAGAGGGCGGGGCGAGCAGGAGCGCGCAGGAGTGGGCGGGTCCCAGCAGGTGTGCCCCTCGTGGAGGCTCCGCAGGTGGGCACGGAGAAGGCGAGATCAAGGCGGTGCGCGCGAGTG